TTCATATTTTTGCGAGACACAGGAAGGGGAACCCCCTCTCCATAAAGCAACATTTCAAGGGGAGAGCATATACTTGTGTCCTAGTCCTGACACTAGCCTCGACTTGTCTGGAATTCAACGCAAGACCACCTTTATTGCTGCTCTTCCTATTCCCATGTCCCACCCCTACTTTAACTGACAACTAGATACAGAGGCCATCAGCTGACATTCGCCTGGCACACACGGGCGCAGTTTGCCTTGCTAATTACGCAAGGCTATAACCGTTCAGCAAACGGAACCTTCTATAAACGCCGATAGACCCTGAAAAAAAAAACAATCTCAAGACCTCAGCACACCCACACCTCCTCCACACATTGAATTGGCGACCAAGTTCACCCTGTTCACTCGAGTTTGGACACTTTTAAAAAACTAAACTGCCTTTCCAGCTTTCTAATTTCCTTCGAAATTACATTTTTGAACTTGGTGCGGATCGGTATATTTAAGATCTGCAGGCATAGGCCTTAATGGGCTTTGGTCCAGTAAATTTCGGTCATCATCAACATCAACACCACCATCATCATTCCCCTCCTCTCTAGCCGTCCGCAGTCCTCCCAACAGGATCGCGATCATAAACCTATTCATAAGCTGCATAATCTTGGTTATCATCGCGACCGTTATCACCCCTACTGTATGCTGTCGAAGTGAATCCACCGTTCTCACCGTCCTCATCATCTTTATCCTTATCACCACAAAGGAGTCCTCCTAAGCAAAAAAATGTCGGCAGCCCCGCAGCTATGCCTACCTGAGGGTGTTGAGGTGAAGCCAACTCCTGAACTGGTCAGAAGACGCTGGCAAGGCGTGAATTTGCCCTCCATCCTTGCGACGACGGTGCTGGCGGAACTAGGAGTTGGCGTCTGCCGCCGTACCTCCTCATACTCGTCGCGCAGATCCTCACGTTCGCGCAGCAGACGAACCGGATTCTGCGCTCGAGAGCCTGGTCGACTGGAGGGCTTAGGAGGCCGTTTTAAGAGTCCGCCGCTGTAGAGGAATAAGGTGCATGGACGCGCACAAACACAATTAGAATGGAACAATAACAAACACGAGGACGCCATCAGTAGCAGATGGAGAAAAACAGATAGCATGTGCTATTTCATATAATCTTAAACAAAATGCCAAAAAATTTATACGATTAAAAATGATTACTTCAGCAGTCTTTTGTATTACGTAGCATACGTGGTAACAATAAAGATGATTGCCCACCTTAGATACCCTTTGCTCAGAATTCTGTCTTAGTTTAGTTCTGGTATTAGTTTAGTTTAGTTCCTAGCTCATTAGTTTAATCTCGGTTTTTGTTTCGTTTTTATTCTTAATTTTGTCTAGTTAAACTTAGTTCATTTAATAGAGTTCAGTATATTACAGTTATTCGAGTATATTTATCTAACATTGGCGGTATCCGACTAAACTAAACCTAAAAGTAAACTATTGAACTAAATAATTAACTTAAACTAATCAAACTAAAAGAAACCACAGAACTAGGGGGCAAGGGGTATTTAAGGTAGGCGACCAACTTTATTCTTCCCGCATGCGGCATAATCCCACGACGCTTCAGGCACTTCAGAATTAGGGTGTTTGAACGAACTTCTTTCCGGCCGCCTACAAAAATTACCGGCTGCAAAAAATGACTGCTTGCGTTGTATGAATTTATTCTATTGATTTTCCATAGCTTTATAAGCTCAAATATATTTTCTAGAAAGCACGAATGAAATATAATCCTTATATTCCGTTGTTAACAAACTACGTCTTCTTCAAATGCTATATTTAGATAAAAAGGTAATATCTGGTCGCATACTTTACAAACAGCATTAAAGGATGTACAGAGGCGACGCTTTATGGATGGACATTTCACTATCTTAAAAATCTCCTAACTAGAAACTTTGTGAAACGTAAAACTGTCCTTCCCTCCTGTATATATTTCAAAGAAGGACTAATCTACTACCAAATAGGTGCAAGAAAGAATATGAAAGATATAAAGGTTTAATTTATTCGCACATGGACAATCAATGGGAAGAAATCACGCTATATAAGTATTCATGCTTTACAAATTACAGTTTGTCCAAGCGGTCGGGACCAAGCTCATTCAAAAGCCGGCATCCTGGCGTGCCTAAAGTATTTTGAGATTATGCCGTATGGTAATTAATAAAACAACCCTATCTAAGTAATCGTTTTTAATGGCACACGCATTTTGGAATCTCGGTAAAAACTCCATTAGATGGCTAATCTTCTGTGCCTTAGAGACAACGAGACCTTATTATACTGTTTCTTTGGAGTAAGAAAAACTAAGCTCGGTGGGTTAGTTGTCAATGTTGTAGCTCGAACTGCGTTTTGGCTGTGAAAGGCTACCGTATATACATCATCGCCACATATTCACTACTTTTGCTTTGACCTACGACCGCTGTGCCACACCTGGTAGACAGAAACATGTCACTATGGTTCATGTTTTGGCCGGCACAGCTCATGAACATAGCCACAATTCAACAGTAACAAGACTCTGTAATAAAGGCAATATGACTGAGACGATCATCTCTGGTTCGATGTTTATATTTAGCCAAGGACTAACGATGGCCGTTTTCTTGAGTTCAGTCGGAAAGCAGGGTTGATTGGATAGGGCGATTGGGCCGAAGCAGCCAACTCAACCCTCTTGCCAACGTGAGTAAAATCTCCTTTTAGGTACCTTCACACGGTAAAAACGCCCACATCTGGTCGACGGTGGAGGAACTTAAGATCCCTCTCTGTTGCTGCTTTTTAATTTACTCAGGAATTTACCATCATAGTTAGAACGTCAGACTTCTGTTCAAAAGGTCGCGAGTTAGAGCCTCGGGTGGTACACCACTTGGGATCGGTATGACTGGCTGATAAAGGCTAATGAACCAGAAACGGTCATTCCTGCCTCCCTTGTCTTTGCCGGAAATGTTCATCTGCCTAGAATACTAGCCGCTATGCGGCTGCAGGTGGGACTCTAGAATGAACCCCAAGGCAGAGCGGGGCGAGTGAGTTCCGTTCGCAATGGTGCACATTCCTCAATGAGTGTCATTTATCCCTAACTTGGAATAAATTAGTCTGACCGAAGCTTCCTAGGAGCAGACCGAATGTTGATATAGTTATCTGGACCAAAGTTCATCAGTCACAGCGGAATAACCAGAGAAGCTTCATTAGACTGCCGCCGGTAGTGCATATAGGGGCTACACGACACATATCGACAGCGCAGGCACTAGCTGCATGGCACAGCTGTGAGGGGGTTGACTCGTCAGTAGGTCCCCCAACATCCACCATATGCCTTCTGGTAGGTACTCCAGTTTTAAAATTTCTGCTATATACTATTGGCTGCCTTTGGCAGCTTGATGAATATTATACGACTATCTATCTCGTTGTGACTGATGGGCTTCAGCCCAAATACTCTTATTAACTTTCAGTCTATGCCTCTAAAACTTATTCCAGACTGATTTACTTTAAGTCAACAATACAATGTTGAGGAAACTAAAAAGTGGCAATTTCAAAACTGGAGTACCTCTCAGAAAGCACACGGGACGGCTGGGGGATCCACTGATGAACCGAATCCCTTGCAGCAGTGTCATACTGTGGTGGAATATCAACGAAACAGGTATCTGGGCTTTAAGCGAATACCTGTTCTGCCAGTATGCCGTGCCGTGTAAACTGTATATCACTCATTCTGTATTAGCCTGGAAGCCGTAGAATTCACTAAAGCAGGTTGTCTTGAGGGGTAGCATCATGTGAATTCCACAGCGAGATAGATGAGCTCCAAACTTCCTTCAGAAAAGGAACCAGTTTGGCAAAGTAAACAGTCAAAAATAAATAGCGTGCCGCAGATTTTATAAACAAACCCACCTACCACTGGGTTCTGTGTGCTCACTTAAGTTGGCGTGGGAAGTAAACATTTAGTTCACAGTTGAATACGAATCAGTCTTCGCAACACGAAAGGTAATAATGCTGACAGCTCTTGCAAACGACTATTTTCAAAGTCAAGCATTCATTGGTAGAGCCAGTATTACCCCAAGGGAGCTTCTGAGTACTCAAAACTGGGCGGTCGGGCCGGGGATGAAGACACTGTCCGGTTTACCTCAGTCTCGTCATTCTCCTCCGCCTCCATGAGTTCGTCCAACCTCTTCACTCCAAAGAAGGAGTCAACAAAGTTTTCGTCCATCTTCGGCACCTGAACCTTCTGTAGACGAAAAATAAAGCGGAGTGTAACTCCTCGGCTAGAAACAGCCGATGACATGATCCATTATTCTTGAGCATATGGCAAAGTCCT